GCAGGATGGCTGACCTTTTTTTACTAAAGGAATGTTCGGTAGCTTAGAAACAGAGCAAACCAGAAGAGATCCAGGTGTTTTATTCTGTTGATTCCCCAGAAGTGTAATAGATAAAACTAATACAAATTCACAGTTGTTAACAAGATCAGGTTGTGCTTAAAAAGATCAACTGAAGTGACAAAAAAGGATATGCTGATAAATAGCATACTTTTTAGAACACTATTTTATTGTTTTCTAAAAATCTGTTCGGATTTATAATTTTATTAAGGAAGGTTTTATATATATATATTTAGGGCACATTATGGCATCTGTTGCTGTAGTTTCCACTTTTTTTGGTTGCACAGTCTGGTTTGAAGCAATAAGGCATCATAAACATAACGGATCATCTGAATACTACCTCCTGTGCAAGTCATTCATTGTACTTCTCGATTTTAGCAGCCTATAATGAGACCAAACTGCAGGAGTGCAGCCCCAGATTATGAGATTTCAATAGCAGGTATGTCTTCCGCAGAGTGAAGATCAGGTGAGCTGCATGCTGTATCAGTGATCTTTTAAAGGAAATGAAATAATTTTAATTGGTTCTCTGGCAATGTCAGATATTCGGCTTAGGATGGCCCGAGTTGAATGAGTGAAGTGTGGAAGTGTTATAGTTTGAATCACTGTGAAGGGAGGAGGAGAAGACTGTCAGTGTGGAGATAATTTTAACAGCACAAAAACATACCATAGCAGTCCTGCTGAAGGAATACAGCTCCTGAAATACGCAGTCTTGAAGCAGAAGTCAAGCCATGAACAGCTTGACTCTGGGCTTTGGGGAGTGCCCTTTGTTTCATCTTCGGCACATTGCAGTGGAGGAGAGATCTAAGTGTCAGAAGGTCTAAGGCTTTTTTACATTTAGTTCCTCCGATGGGTAGCAGTTAAAAGCCTTTGCACATCCACAGTAACAAGAGAAAGTGCAGTTTCACATTGGAAGTCATGATTTTATTTTAAATATCGCTTTTGAAATCCTTACAGCAAGCTGACAGTTGAAATCTACAGTGATAATAGAGGCAGGCTAAGCCTTCTGTAAAAACATTGACAGGGGGATGGCACTTCTCTCACACTCATGGATGACCTCTAGGCCTGTGCTTCACAGAGGTGTTTCAAAGAACAAACTCAAAGCTCCATTAACCAAGGGGGTGTTCTGAGTACATCTTGGAGTCAATGAGAGCAATGGAGGACTGCAAGAACGCTTGTTTTTGTACCTAAAACAAAGCTCTTGTTTCACAGTGGTACAGTATGTAGGCCAACATTAGGTGATAAGACAATAAATAAATGTAAGGGCAGGAAATGTTAGCAAGGAAAGCTGTATTGTTGATGGACGTGTGTCCCATTGTCCCATCCAGTCACTAGTATTTTATTGATACGAGAGCAAATGTTGTTTTTACTACATTTGTATTTTTTTCAAATTCCAATTACAATTATGATACAAAAGGCAGTCACTGACTTGGAAAACGCTGAAATCAAAACCGCAGTTCTAAAAATTATTTTGCTAAATGTTGTACAAACGGTGACTTAACTGCAGTACAAATACAGTAGTCAGGATGCTTAATGTTAAGTTTCCCTCGTGCTATTGCTACCCTTCTTGAATGTAATATAAACATGTTTACTTGTAAGGGATCCTAGCCTTCGGAACTAGTATAAAAATAAAGGATATTTTGAAGGCAATATTCATATAATAAAAACATAAACAACATCCAAGGGAGTTTCTTTGGATTTATTTAATGCTTTAAGTCAAGTTGTGGTGCTCTAGGAAGAAATGTCTAGAGCTAATATGTTTACACAAATATTTTGAGGAATTTCATTATATAGCCTTCTCATACCATGACTGATAGTTTGGCTCCATATAAAATGCTGAATTTGAGGATCTTGTTAAAGACGTTTTAACGTGGCATGGAAAGTAGTGTGAAGCCCAGCTGGGACTGATTTGTTCAGGGCTGTTAACCTGAGAAGAAAGACCTTTCCTCCCGAGAACAGCTATCTCTTCTGAGGGATGTGGTGTATCTTTGAGGAAGGCTGGAGGAAAAAAAAACTCTGAGGTGGTTGAAAGCAATTTCTTAATCATTTAGACCATTTTTTTTCAATGTTTGTATAGTATATCTGTGTGTATCCATAGGTGTGTTTGGAAATGCTAAAATATGTTTCAATAGGTAACCAAGGAAGGTCCTTGCTCTTAGCATGGCAAAAAACACAATATTCCATCAGATTGGTCTTTATTATGGTTTTTTTTTGTTGTTTTGAGTCATCAAAGATATTTTTTTTTGTATCTCAATCACGTGTGTTGTCTCCCTCTGCCCTGGGCAAATCAGAGAGCAGAAGCCATGTATCTTATCTGCTGAATAATGCACAGTTACAGTATGCTGCTGCGTCTTTTCAAACTGCAAGTCTGTAGCACAAACAGTGGCACTAGGCTGTGGGATGGAGGAGCTGATGCATCTCCTACAGAAGGAATGGCAGGTAGTCCAATGCACCTTGGCTATCTAGTGAAATTTAGTGTTTTGCAGCAAGTGGAAGAAACTCTGGCCTGCTTTCAGCACTGCCCCGTCAGTCAGCTAACAGCATGCTGCTGATTCAAACCAGGGGTTTCTGAACTGCTCCGAGCATGTGCTTTTGTCAGTTGAGACTCTCGTCAGGGCCATGACATCGCCTTTTTCCCATCGGGCATGAACTGTGAAGATCTTTATAATTCCGACCAAACAATGCATAAAGCTGATAATGCTTCAGATTTGTTTTTGCTAAAACTGCTGTTTGTTATTCTTCCCCAGGATTCGCTGTGGAGTTGTTTGCTCCTTAAGCTACAGAGCTATGCCCAGAAATCCTTGTAATATGAGTTTTTGCAGACTCTTTTCATTAAAGTGGCATGAATCCAAGTGTACGTCTCTTTGGTAGATGACATATTTAACTCCTCACTTAACTCAATCCATGCAAATTTAATTTCATTCTTTGGTGGAAAACTTGCATCAGACACTAAATAGTTATGCTTCTCCAGAAGAGCTTTTGACTGCCTAGATTAACTTTATCTGAAAGAGTCTATATGTAAGAAAGCAGTGTAATAGCAAAAGAACATTCAGATTTAATATTCTTTTGTGTACATAAAAAACACAACAGTTAATTGTATTACTTTTTCCCTTTCTTAAAATTTAAGATTTGCCGCCAAAGGTAGGGTGGATAGCTGGGAAGGGCTCTCTCAACTCTTCACTGCTCAGTGAGCCTGCAGTTTGCACGGCTGCATGCATGCAGTACTGTTGCTGAGGGATGTGCCTGTTCTCCTGAACCTCTGCTACAGCGCTGTGCAGCCTGTGACGTGTTCCAAGACAAATGGCTCCTAGGTGGGCAGGTTGGAAGTGGAGTCTACCTGCACTTTCTAGTTCCTCATTCTTCCCTGTGGGTGGTCATGAGGTTCATAGCAGCAAGCTGAGACATGACAAGCACACAACTGGCTATTCCAAAACCTGGTGGGTAAAAAAAAAATAATTAGGGATTCTATCATATTTTTAAAAAAAAACTACAATTGTGAAATATTCTTTCCAGTTTTAAACAGCACATTATTAATCACCTCGGCCAGCCTCTAAAAGCCTCAAGCACAGTAAAGATGACAACATGCATTCTCTCTAGCCCTTTGGCCTGTTAGACACGGTTCTTCAGGGGCTGAAAGCTTTCACTGTTGGACACTGCCAGCTCTCACACACCCTGCAAGTCTCAGGGGTCACTGATGTGTAGCAGGACACAGATATCCTGGTTATATGTCAATAATGACATGGGCTAGGCTTGAACTGTTGATATCTGGATTATAGAGCTGACCAGAGCTCTTAGTAAGTTTAGCCAATTTTGGCCCCTGGCATGTACCATGATTTTAAGCCCAGAGACTAACTGCATTAATATGTAAACATATTAATTATACCTGATAACTAAATCTGTATGGTGCTGTTTTAAGTTTAGGTCTGTTACAGTAGTACTGCTGTTCAAGAAGAGCGCCAGAAGATATGGGTCAGATGGTTTTGTCATAACGCTAGAATATAAACTCATCTCTTGGAAAACCAGCCAGGCAAAAGCCTAACTGATTGTGTGGATGCACAAATACACATGAAACGCACCAAGTCATGATTCTGAGGCAGTGTGTAACTCAGCCAGAAAACTGAGAACACTAATATTGGAATTGCAATGGGAAAAAAAACCCAGGTGGCCTGAAAAGACAGAATTAAAGTAAAAACAAAAGGAAGCTAATTTGTCGATTTGTCCACTTTTACATCTGTGTCAGTAATATTTCTCTGCTTTCTGCAGAGAGCAGCTGTTGTCTTTAGGATAGAAAAATCATTCCCTGAGTGCCATCTGGAATGTGTATATGCAGTATGTATTTAAAAAGAAACTCAGAGAGAGATTCTGTTTTTAGTAGCATACCAAAGTCCAACAGGTACCTAGAATCAACAAGGAGGGTGGGCTGTTCTTCAGTTCACTGTAGGAGACAATGAAAACCCAAAATACACTATCCTGCTCCTTTCTTAAAATTCATTTTTATAATGACATTAGTGCTCATCACATAAATATGCTTGAATCTCAGTTTTTCAACTGCATGACTGAAGTAGGTTCAGTTTCGTTATGGGCATTTTTTCCTTCAAAAGTCCATTTTAAATGTGATTTTGCAATGAAGTGAATATGTTTCCTGAGTATTTTAAAAAGGTACAAGTAGCAGCGTACAATACCTTATCAACATAAAATGTTATTCAGAGCTTGTTGTGCAAATTAACAATTTGACTGAATAGACACCAACTTATGTTCTTATGTTCACTTTAAAAAACGTATTCGTTCTAATATTTTGATGATTACAGCATCTTGTGTGGAAGAGCAGACCCTAAAACCTAAGGAGAACATTAACGTTGAAAAGTATTCATGTTGGGAGGGGGAGGGGAAAGAAATCTCTTAAGGGAAAAAAAATTAATGGAGTATTTCTGGTGGGTTTTTTTCAGCTGATTGTCAACCACCCTGCCAGAACAGAGGGTCCTGCAGTCGGCCTCATACCTGTGTCTGCCGGTCCGGTTTCCAGGGCCCCAGGTGTGAGGAGGTGGCCCCCGAGCAGGTGTACGTTCGGACAGGCTCCTCACGGGCCCTGCGGCCTCTTCCTCCCAGCTCCACCCTGCTCAACCACCGGAGGCCCGAGGACAGTCAGGGAAGAAACACCAGCAGGGGGCAGCTCCCCAGACAACTACCTGAATCCGAAGGGCAGCCACTTTCCGCGTGAGTCAATTAAAATTCTTCCTGAAAGTTCTGGCAATTTCATTTTAATTAATTACATTTTCAACCAGAGTTTTTTTTTTTAAATGAGTCAATGGAACCGTCTGTTTTTTCCCAACACAGTGTGAAGAAAATTGGCCCTGAATTGCATGAACCCTCATTTTGACTGCAGAAAATCAGCTTTGCTTTGAAGAAGCAAAGAGCACAACTGATCCCGAGTATTGGAGCTCAGATTTAATGAGATGGGTGCAGACTCTGCTTATCTCGGGTAGAAAAAAATGGGTTACTCGAAAGACCCCTTGCTTTATAAAAGCAAAAAAACTTGGCACTCAAAAGACTAGGAATGTCTGAACTTTAAGGAATCTGAATGTAACCAATACTTCAGCTGGGTAGCTGAAAACAAAGATATTTAACCTTATAACTCTGAATTTATTGCATGATTCAGATCTATGATGGCTTTGTTTTAATCGCATGCTGGCAGGCTAGCAGGGCAGTCACCTGGAGTGGTTAAGAATTCGGTTTTGGCCGTGTGTCATTAAGTGTGTTAAGGAAGTATGCAAAGGAATGCTCCAACCCTGGGGCCAATTCCAGGTTTTCCATTCCAGTTCCCTTCCAATTCCATTTCTGTGGATGTGAAATGAGAATTGGAAATGGAAATCAGTTTGATAGAAGGATTTGTCCCAAACTCAAGAATGCTCACAGTTTACAAAGCCATTCTTGATCCATTTTTAAGTTTGCCTTAGTGTTTATAGTTAATCATTTGGCTAGGGAAAAAAAATCAAATCAGTGATGTTAATTGGGGAAAAAAAAAATGCATCAGCAAATTAAAGCCATCGCAGCATAAGCTTACCAGGACTGGCGTATATGTATTGGAACATTGTTGTCAGACATTTAGTGACGTTTATACAGTGTAAATTCAATAAAGGATCCTGTAGCCTTCTGAATATCAGTCCTGCCTTGTCCTGCCACACACAGGAAAGGCCGATGTAGCCTGCTCATACACTACCCACTCCCTTGTGTAAGACAGATACAGTAGGTTTGTCCTGGCACCTGACCCCACCGGAGAGCAGAGAGAGGATTGGACAAGCGGTGTGAGAGGAGTCCCTGGAAAGCACAAGCCACCAGTGGGATCACTATCCACTGCTATGTAGTTCAGAACACGATGGCCTTTGTGTTCTGCGTGGAGTCTACTGTTAGCAAAACAGTGGCCTGTGCCGAAACAAACAGCGCAACCGTTATGGGAGTCAGCTGTGTTTTGATTAGCCGGGCCAAGACCCATGTGTATGAGCAGGGTGTCAGACATTTCCTGCAAACATGCCCAGAATGCGGGCTCTCTGACCTTTCCTCTGACTGTTCCTGCCACCTCCTCCGAGAGCTGAGGAGCATCCTGAGGGGCTTGGGGATGAGATGAGGTCATGTGGACCTGGGCAGGGAGTTGATCTGCAGCTGTGTGGCCCTTGTACCTCTCTGGTATGCGCTAGCCCGAATGATGAAGCAGGGACAGGTCCATTCGAGCCTGGACCATTCTTAGCAGGGTATGGGAAAAGGAACATTCTGCCATCTCCGTTGCAAAATCGTTAAAAAACATTAAATATTTATTTTGCACATAGTTTGTACAGTCTGTGTTTTGTAGGTTTCCTGATCTCTTCTCTTCGCGGTGGTCCACCCTGTTGTTTCCAGAGGAGGTGTGGCTGCTCTCCTCACAGGAATAATTTAGTTAGAAAGGTCACAAATCCTGCGTCATTTGGCCATCTCAGCTCCCCTGTTCTCCTGACTCTTAAATTACCGTGACGGTAACAGTGAGAAACAGCTCTAAAATTTTATACTAAAACATGCAGTCAAAAATCCATTTGAGAGCTTTGAGTTAATTTGCCCTCAAAATGCAGGAGCCTCAAATTCAGCACACCACCCTAGTGGTTAGTGTTACTCCATTTTCTTTGGGGGCTGGGGGCCAGCTTTCCTTGCACTGCTTTTCTAGCTGTAATCAAAGAGCTTTTTGTCATTCCCCTTCCCCTGACATTTCTTTCAAGATGCTCACTGCATGTATACATGCTGTATGTCCGTATTTATGTCTGGGAAATTCTCCCATTTTCCACCTTACTTTGTCAGTTTATTTTATATACTGTTAGCAGTAACAGTATCTAGCCAAATACTTCATTTTTAGTTTTAATTGTTCTTCTATGTTCTTCTATGTTATGTATTTTTCTTCTGCAATGTGGAAAGAATAATCGCATAGATCTTTATGTAAAATCTTCTCAATTAAAAAAGTAATACAAATTTGTCAAGCTGGCATTCTCAATAAAGTGCAATATGCTGATGATATGGTCAAACAAAAAGAAAACTACAGTAAACATTTGTTTGAATTTAGCTTTTAAGCAAATCTTCTTTGTTGCTGCAAATGTATTATCTGGCTAATGATCTGGTTTGCTGAAGTATCTAACCATTATCTGGAAATTTAGTCTAGATAGCGTACAGTGGCTTTTTCACATCATAACTGTGATGAACTACCAGATGGCTATTTTACTGAAAACGACTTGGGGTGTTACTGGAGTTCTCCTCCAGTTTTTCTTTTGGAAACTTTATATTTTATGGACAGGTGTGCATACTGCATAAGTCTGTTTACCCTGAGACAGAGATGGCTGTAATTCAAACCCACAATTTAACCCAAATCTGGGTAATTAACCTTTCTCCTTTTGTTTCTGTGCTTTGATCTCTGTAGCCTTCCTGTTAGGGTGCCTGTGAGAAATTTGAAATGCATTGGATTACTGTAACTAGGCATTAGTACTCTATTACTAAAAGTGTCTGTAAAGTATTTGATAATCTAATCTTTTTTTAAAGATGTTAAGGTCACATCACTATACTGGTTTTCTCTCACTTTTTTTGCACACAACATGGAAATATGGTGAATGAGGTGTAGGTTTTTGAAAGATACAGTATATCTTTAGGTATAAAAAGGTATTAAATATTTAGGTATATCCTATATCACATACCTATAATTAAATAAATGCTTAAGTATTTTTTAATACGCTTTATAACCTTTAAGTCCTAAATATTTCTCTTCAAATGGGGAAATTTGATTACACATGACACCTGAATTAATCCCATCCTGACGTTAAGATACACAGTTGCAGGGCACATGTTAATACAATGTACATTTTTTACTTGTGAGTCAGGAGATTAGACATAAAACAAAATTACGACTTTGATTCTGTGCTACGCAGACACATAAATTGAGTCTCGCATATTATTGAGATGAGTGATGCGACTAGACAGCTTTAAGATTGAACAGCCCTACATAACAGTAACTTTTAATCTCATAGCTAAGTATTTATCCAGCAATTTAGCAGATCTATTTTGATAAACGTAGAGAAAAGACATGCTAAAGCAACTTTATAAATACATTTTATGACATCTTCTTTGTCATCATTTTCACCTTGTTTGTTTCTTTATGCTTGCAACAGCCTTAGCCAAATATAGGCACTTGCTTACCCATCTTTTTGAAAAACAATGATAGATGATACTGATTGGGCGATTGGTTATTGTCTGTAGAGGCATGAGATGTTTTTTTTTTTAAGTTCCTTTGTCTGGCTGGAGTGATTCTGATCAGATCTGCTTAAACAGGCTACCCTGCGTTAAGTACACGGGAAGGTGTGTAGACACTGACAAGCCTGGCTCGGACTCCACCGTCGAAAGCACAGCCAGTGAGAAGCTTGTGCGGAGAGCCAGACCTACTGTAAATTAAACCAGTGACTCGCGCAATGTCTGCAGAGATTAAAGTGGCTGCCTACAGCAGGTTATCCCAGAGCTTTCTTCAAAAGAAAATAAATAAGTATTTCCTAAAAATGAAAGTCACTTTTCATCGTTTCAGTTCTCCTTAATTTGCAGGTGTTGTACATATATTGCGGGTGAATTTATATTCCGTTCCTGGAAAGGCAGTGGGATGTGATTTGTCATGCCGGCAGCACCTTGTTAGTCACGTCGGTTCCATTTCAGAGTATTCTGGCAGGGGATATTTGTATCATTGCCAGTAGGCTCACAGCATGCGTCCAGTCAAGTTGGATAGCATTGAATTGGTCAGGGTCATGGGGTCACCCACTCACTAACTTGTAATATGAAACTATGGTTCTTTTGGACTGTTTCTTCTCCAGTTCTGCTGTTTGGCTATGTAGTGTAACACAAATGTTTGTGATTTTTTTTTTAAAACAGCCATAGATAAACATACATTGAGTTGTTTGTTGTAAACTGGTGTATCAAATCTCGACGAGCTGCTTAGAAGTGAAAAGTTCAAGAGCAACGGTTTTTGATGACTTTTTGACTTTGTTGCTGATTAGCTTGTATGAAGCCACGGCATGATTTCTTCAAAGTAGACACAACTAAACCCCCCCCCCCTGTTTTATTTTTACTGTGGACTTGCCTTTTCTGCTCTTTGAGGCTGTGTGCACAGCCTCTTTTAAATCTAGTTGAGAGGAAATCAAGGATGCTACAGTAACAGCTTCTTCAGAATACCTTCTTTGGCTGAAAGCATAGGTTGAGTTGTTACATCAGTCTTTTTTATGTAAATAATGTACACTATAGTTTATTTTCTGATTTAAAAAATAATTTCGGCTTCCTTTTTTTGGAGAAAACCACTATATGTTGTGCAGCAGCACATTTTCTAGGTTTAGGTGTCTGGTTTTGGGATTGACAAGCAACATGCGACAAAGCCAGACCAGGACTACCTGTGATGATAGTGTCAAAGAGGTTCTTTAGCCACTGCAATGGGAGACTCTAACGCCCCGTAACAACCGTGAACTACCATGCATGAGAATAGGCAGGAACAATGAAGACATACTTAACAAGTTGCAGCTTAAATCACGTATATCTAATCATTATGTTCTGTTGTGTTTCCCACTTTAATCTGAAGAAGTAAAACAGTGCATGAAAGGTGTATTGAAAATACTCTTGTAATATTGGATTGTCGAGATTTCAGTACAGATTTTATTCATGCATTACTTAATATACAC